CGTAATAGACTAAATTTTGAACTAAACAAGTCTAGACAAAAATTTCATCACAGCTTGAAGGAGCATCACAAAATTAGTAATATTCCAAAGTTTCGTTGCAAAATGTTGTAAAATGCGGAAAATATAGCTTTGCGAAATTTGCAATTTTCAGTCATTTTAGATTACAAACCGGAAATTGACAGCCCCAAACCCTTCGAGGCTGTCAATTTCCGGTTTGTAATCTAAAATGACTGAAAATTGCAAATTTTGCAAGGCTATATTTTCCGCATTTTACAACATTTTGCAACGAAACTTTGGAATATTACTAATTTTGTGATGTTCTTTCAAGCTGTGATGAAATATTTGTCTAGATCAAAATTTTGTCTATTACGCAAATGGTCAATTCAACCCCAGGGTTAACCCTTTTCCTGCTTTGAACAACCCTTCCCTTACAAGTAACTTTTGCTAGTAACTTCCTGACAAAGGGGCTTCGAAGTTCTCCTTGTATTTTTCAGGTAGTTGTATCCCTATCAATCCGAGACTTTCTCATTCTCGACACTACCTACACTGGCACAGATTGTTCAAAACTATATATTGACAGCACGTTTCTGTTTTGACAGGGAAGTCGAGAGAGTATCGTGAGTTACTATAGCAATGCTGGGGGTGAGGTGTATGGCAAGTATCCAGTGAGTGGTGAGATCTTGTTTGGTATAAAATACGACCCAAAGATCCAGGAGTTTCAGATTCAGATTCATCAAGGTCGAGATATCACTGCTGTCGACAAGAAGACAGAGACATCAGATCCGTATGTATTCAAGCATTACTCCGTTACATTTGAATTTAGTAAAGTAGTGATCAGGGGTGGAAAAAATAGACGAGCAACAAAATTGCTGCAATTTGCAACAAAATCTGATTTCAACGCATGTTAAGTAGAAATGTCGTCACATGTTGCCTCGTGATTTGTAATTCATGTGTAAACATTTTCAATTAACATGCGTTGAAGTCAGATTTTGTTGCAAGTTGCAGCAATTTTGTTGCTCGTATTACTCCACCTTTAAACAGCTGCAGGAAATTTGTTTGAATGAAGATTTGCTATCGAAAATTTGAAGGAAATCTTAACACCCATGCCCCACTATGGGCGCAACAACATATGGTTGACAGACATTATTCCTTGAATTCAATACCATGGTCAACTAGAACACTATATGTTTATACACATGCAGATTTCGCACAAAAATACTCCGTTGGTCTACGGAACATTTTTGTCTCCAGCCCCAGGTTGTGCTCCCAGGAAGAAAATTCTTTTTTCCTGCCCTGGTAGTGTTAACGTTGTGCCTTACAGTTAAAATACAAAAAGTGTCCCACTTCAGTTTCTGTAGTCTGTTGTGATTTTTTGTAATGCGTTCTGTTTTTCTGTAGCTATTTATCGGCAAATACCGCGATAAAATAAACATGTCGCACTTTATATGTAGTAAAACTACCCAGTATAATAGAGTATAATTAAATGTCCTTTATTTTGATAAAGATACGTGAAGACTTACTTACTGCCTGACAGAAGCAGAACCGGGAAGAGAAAGTCTAAAGTGAAGAAAAATACAGTCAATCCAGTGTTTGATGAAATACTCACAGTAAGCTACTCGCTCATCTTTTCTTTGCATAAAATTGACCATAACAACAACGGTAACTCCGAATAAAGACAACATTTTTGATTCAACGTTTTGACTTTATTTAGTCATCACCTGATGATGACTAGTTTCAGATGATGACTATATAAAGTCGAAACGTTGAATAAAAAATGTCTTTATTCGGAGTTCGTTGTGTATTTCATGAAAATGCTCAGTGGTTTCCGCAATTATAAAATTGACCATAACAACAGTACCATCCAGTAACGATCCCTTTATAACAGTCTAGTGATTGGAATGTCCTGTCGAAATTTCACTGTTCTCCATGTCATCTCATTGTTTCAACTTGTTTTTATACCTGTAACATTTTAGGGGAAGTTACTATTTTTAGACTTTTGTAATTTTGTATTCTTTTATATTTTAAACTTAATCCTAACTCTAATTTTAACCTTAATCCTAAACCTAACCCTTACTCTAATCTTAATCCTAACACGTTCCCTAATCCAAACCTTAATCCTAAAACGTAACTCATAATTATGATTGTTTTTATCACAAATGCTTGGAATTCATCATATGTTTTATTTTGTAGTACAAGATTACTTATGATGAAATTCTGCAACGGACACTGTGGCTTGCTATCTGGAATCATGATACGTTTGGTCATAATGATTTCTTGGGTGAGGTTCTGGTGCCCATTGATCAGTACCATCAGTCTGGTTTTAGTCTTGAAGATCCTGAGCCTCAGTGGTATGAACTTTGTGAACGGGTGAGTTTTCTGGGAAAGATATTCTGTTTACAAATTCACTTTATATCTATTGAATAGCACTCTTTCTAAACTGTTTCCCTACCAGTATCACTTCTGAAAGAAACCTTTATTCACACTTCATACCTCTATCTGTTCTTTCTAAATTGTTCACTCTGGATGCCTTGTAAGGGTCATCTTTTATTGGTTTCGTGTTAGTACTGCATTGTAGGGGCTGGTTGTATAAAAAAGTCATTAAAGTTAACTATAGTTAGTGGAAACGTCATCCAATGAGAAGCGCGTATTTGAAAGTTAATCACTATTTAACTACAAAATAGTGATTAAAAAAGTGATTAAGAGTTTTATACAACCGACCCCAGGAGGAAACCTGATTCACACTAAGTTTATTAACCTACTGAGTGGCAGCACTCTTCCTCTGACGAGTAAAGACGTCTGGCGTTAGACAGAGTAAAATAATAAAGTAGGGCGCATCTGGGCGCATTGCCACTTAAAGTGTTAATAGATCTATCCCTTCCAAACTCGTTTCCCTAGAGGTCAAGTAAGAATCAAATTGTGAGTTTAGTCTTACTACAGGAGGGAACTGGACTAACCTGACAAAATCCTGAGCGATTGCTGAAGTTGCCAGTTCGGCAGCCCTCTTCCTACCATATTACGGAATTCTGACACCATTTGCACTGTGCCATACGAGTAAAATTAGAAATAACCGTACTGGTATGCCGTTAAATTGTCTTATTGTCTCTTACAGCAAGCAGACGACCAGCAGTTCTCGTACAATGGAGAGATTGTGTTCTCCTTGAAATATGTTCCACCCTCAGCCTTGGTTAGCAATAAGAAGAAGAAAAAGAAGAAAAAGGCGGACGATGAGAAAGGAGAACTTCATATTAATATTATCGAAGCGACTAATCTTTTAGCTAAAGATGCTAACGGATTTTCTGATCCGTTTTGTAAAAGGTATCGTCTAGTGTTATTGCTGTTTTAATCCATGTGATCACGTGATAGAAATTAGCTGTACCGATTGAGATGCCCCAAAATCCTGCAAACATTGCTATCAACTTAAGTATAATATACATGAACTTGTGGTTAGAGCTCGACAACTGGACTCTGCCATAGATATCATATATACACTAGATAGTGTATCTAATTATTCTGCAATTCAAAAATTGAAGCCGTGATTGCAGACTCAGGATATTCCCATGAAATGAGAAGACTCGTATGTTTTCTATTTCTTAAACACGGACCTTAAACATTAAGTTAAACCTATTCCAAATACATTTTCAAACTATTCAAATGATGAAAGTTATTGTTGTTTTTTAAGCGTTTGTTAGCGAGTGGGAAACTGCAACATGGCCGCCATCTATTCAAATGGGGGTAACCGCTGGAATATTCTTGGCTTCAATTTTACTAAAAGATATGCGCTATCTAGTCTATATAAGATATCTATGGACTCTGTAGCTCAGTTGGTTAGAGCACTGCACCGGAATCTCAGGGCTACAGGTTCAATTCCTGCCAGAAGGCCTGCATGTAGTTGCATTTTCCACAGCTGTTCCTGGTTAGGTTTAATCAATGTGTAAACTTTACATTAAAAGTGTAATTTTCTCCACTTTTAGTTATCTGCTTCCAGACAAGAGTAAGAAATCGAAACAGAAAACGCCCGTGGTGAAGAAGAGTCTGAATCCAAAATGGAACTACCACTTTGTTTACGATAATGTCACGCATGAAGAGCTCATGGACAGGGTCCTGGAACTGACTATATGGGATTTCGATCGGGGGTCTAGTAACGAGTTTCTTGGTGGAGTACGTTTAGGACTGGGGACTGGTGTCCAGGAATGGGATGACGCGACATCAGAGGAACAAGCTGCTTGGAATAAGATGTTGAATAATCAGAATGATTGGAACCAAGTCAGTTTGATTTTGAGGGAGCACATGGGTCGTCATAAGTAAGCTATTCGTATATGTATGTATGTATGTGACTTGTTTGTAGCTATTTATGTATGTATGCAACTTGTTTGTTAGCTATTTATGTATGTATGCAACTTGTTTGTTTGTTTGTTTAACAGTTTGTTTGGTGGTAGTGGCGATGATGATGGTGATGGCGGTGTTGTTGTTTGTATTGTTTCTGTTGTTTGTTTGTTTGCTTGCTTGCTTGCTTGCTTGCTTGCTTGCTTGCTCGTTTGTTTATTTATTTGTTGTGCTGTTGTGAGAGAGCTCAGGCTGTCACTACAGCCTTGGGTAAAACAGGAAACGTTGGTATGGAAACAATTGAAAATTCCGATGTTTCCACAAACGTTTCCCAGTTTCTCCATTCTTGAAAACATTATTACGGACACAAACATTGTTTCCCACGATGCCAAAATGGTTGCCAACAAATTCAGAAACCTATTTCGTCTCTTAACTGAGTGCAACAATGTTTTTTGTTTGCCTGAAAAAATTGAAAACAAAATTAAAAATTAAAATTCAATATTTTTTCTCAGGATATCATATTGTTTTTTCTCCCTAATGTTTCTAACAATTGACAATTTCTATCGTTGATATTCCTCCACTTTTGCTTATATTTTGATATACATTTTATATTAGAAGCTATTATTTTCCTATTATTTTTTACATGTACTTGTTTGTGTTTTGCTTTGTGTTTCTATCGTTAGTATATTTTCCAGGAGTATATTTTTTTACCTTTATATTTCATAGATTTTCTTTGTATATTTTTGTTTATTTATTGTTGTTTATTTGTTTGTTTGGGACATGAACATAGAACTAGTTCAATGGGGACAATGAGTAATTATATTTTTGTAATAAAATGAAATATGTTCTGAAATGAATAAAGATTTTCTGAGGTAAATAAATGTCGTCGCAGCAATATTACAGTAATGTAATTTTGATATTGTTTGTTAGACGAAAATTCAAAATATTTTAATAAATTTATCTAAATGGGAGATTCCGGTGTTTATTGGGCCGACTTTTATCAGTTATACAATGAACCATATTGAGTCATATAATTTCGAGCTTCAAAATATTTATTTTTGTGATACATATTTCATTTTATTCTTCATTTACCAAATCTTTAGTTGTAATTTTTCAATGTCATCTAGTGCAGGATTTTGTATATTTTTGTTTCATTTTCATTCGTAGTTGAAATAAAGTGTACCTTATTCGTGCATATTTCAGTAATTTTGCCTTATCAGTACACTGTTGATTCTGCTGCACGGCATCAACTACTCTGTGGGTTGAATGCTGCGGAACGAACAAATTCAATATGGCGAATGAACACGTTTCTATACATGTTTGAATTCATTAATAGACCTTTCCCCTTATGAGTGAAATTTTGATCTAGACAAGCCTGGACAAAAATTTCATCACAGCTTGAAAGAGCATCACAAAATTAGTAATATTCCGAAGTTTCGTTGCGAAATGTTGTAAAATGCGGATAATATAGCCTTGCGAAGTTTGCTGTTTTTCAGTCATTTTGTATTACAATCTAACATTTTGCATCAGATGATCAAACTGATGCAAAATGTTAGATTGTAATGCAAAATGACTGAAAAACAGCAAACTTCGCAAGGCTATATTATCCGCATTTTACAACATTTCGCAACGAAACTTCGGAATATTACTAATTTTGTGAAGCTCTTTCAAGCTGTGATGAAATTTTTGTCCAGGCTTGTCCAGATCAAAATTTCACTTAAAAGGGGAAAGGTCTATTGACATTCCCTAAAATGGGCTTTTCAATGACAATTTACATAAATTTTAAAAAGAAATTATAAATTACCATGCATGCAAATTAACACAAAAATATGACCCGGCAGTCACTATTATTATTTTTTGAAAATCACACAGTTCTCTATGCCCTTTGGGCACTGGTTGCTCGAGTATTCTACAGAGGGCTCTTAAGCCCTCCTGACGACGGATGAGTACTTGCCAAATTATAAATTTATGATTGCCCAATTTTGTTATTTTGTGCGAAGTTTTGTGTATATAGAGTATGCCAAATATGCCAGAATTCAGCACAAATGTAAAGATACATGCAACAATTTTCTCAATGCACATATTTTGAATTTTAATTGCAATATGATTATCGGTTATCATTGTCTTCTTATTTTCAATATTTATAATGCGACTATATACAAATGTGAGTGAATAGCATTTTCCCATGAGACTAGATATTATCACAAGACTTCCATGTTTAAAAGGCGTGCTCCTGACTTTCTTCGTGGTAACGAGAGACGGCTGACATGCTTTAACAGCGTCGCTTTTCTACGGGAATTTCTACCAGGAGAGATCATTTTCATCGACTTTTGGAAGCGGCGGAAAACACCCAGTGTCTTGCACTTCAAGGCAAGTGAGTTCAGTTCTTTGATGTGTATTTGTTGTGTTTCCCCTCTCGAGAGTTTTATGTCGCTATGTCCAAGTGTTTGTCTTTTTTGGGACGTGATATTTGCTTGCTGCCATTAAGCGCTTGAGTGCGTACTATGAATGCTGATTTAAACATGGCTCTTCTCTTTACAGGTTGTGTAGTTGAGACTCCTAAAGAATACCAAGTTCTTCATACAGGTAATTATGGACATGTACTTAGTTTAAATCTGAGTTTTAACTTCTATATGTTAGGCGTTATATATGTGTTGGAATTGGTTTACTAATTCAGTGTTTAGTATAGGTATGTTGTATAAGTTCCTGACAAAACGCGTTCGTTCGTAACGTGCAAGTGTTGTGTTAATATCTTTTATGGAGTTCGGACACAAACCTCGGCAGCTTGTTGAAGAATATACCACCTACTGAACACCCTCTAGATAGCCTGATGGCGCCTCAATGGCATATGAAAAGAGTGTTTCTAGTTAACTCTACTAACCACTATTGTTTGACTCTGATAACACCGCTTTTCCCCTCTAGTCACTAGTGGACTAAGGGCTGTTCATGAGCCTGGCCAGCTTGAGTGAATCGTGTCAGGAAAATTTTTTCCTGTCCATAAACGATCGTTTGAACTTTATACTGTTACTCTAATCAAACTAAGATAATTCAACTTTTACCAAAGTTTTGATAAGAGCCAAAGTCTTCTCGTCCAAATTTGTAAACCTGAGTGATCTGACAAATTTTATTGTTTAAACCAACCATTAGGGAAATGCGGCTTCCTCTGGGGCTTAGTAAGACAAAGCGATGTCATAAATGCTTTGAAGGTGCTTTTGTTTTTTCTCATGCGTCGCTCAGATTTATAGTTATTTGCCCAGGCTTGTGTTTATTCGACGCTTCGTTGCGTTGTCTTGTTTTGCTATTCGTGTGTCCCCAATGCATGGTTTTACACCGAAATGAGGATTCAAGATTGTGGGTTTCGTTTCTTCTTGATAGGAGGTGAGATCTCTGTAGAACTCTGCCGCCATTATTTCACTGGTACGAATGTAATCTAAGTCCATCAGTTCATGACCTTTTTGTGAATACTTTGGCGGCATTATTAAAATACAATTTATTTATACTGTTGGTAGTTCTTTTAGACTTTCAGCTCTGAACTGTCCCATTCTTAAAGGTCCAGGAAGGGATATTCCTTCGGATCATTGGTCCAGTGTTACCACACGAGGAAACCCTACTACCCGGAAAAAACTTCTGGTGTTTGGTAGAGTGAAACTGGAACTAATCTTATCATATTCACTGAAACAACTCCTAATCATATACGACTTCATCAATCAGGAATCGAAGACCGTCCTCGGATGTGAACGGTGTGCTCGATACAACTAGAGTAACGATGTAAACAAATTGTAGCTGATATTGTATACTAATGTCTATAATCGTCATATACTTACATATTTTTCAGAAACAAGAAATGGATTTATTTCGTGTTGAAACGGGCGCTGCTCCTGGACAGAGCTGTAGTGAAGAGACGATGCCTATACTGAAACGTAGTCCTAGAAAAGATGAACCTCCACTTAACCCCAAAGTATTCCTTATTAACGATTCCTTGGCTTCTATTACTAATATATCATTGATGTTTACTGACACGTCCAATCGATTCAAGGCAAGTAATTTTGATCAACTTAAAATGACTCTACATAATACTATAGGTCCCTATGGATTAATAACCTGGATCAAAGGTTTTTCTAACTTGGTGATGCTTCCGATAATCTCTAGTAATACTGACCAAGAAATGAATGTAGAAACACTTACTAGTTAGTAGCCTACTGTTACTGTCAGTTGGCTACTAACTCTTGACGAAGGGCCTTCGCTCGAAACGTCGAGTTTCTGCTTATTTTTTAAGGTTGTAATATAACCACTCAGCACAGCATTTTCACATTGGTACTACCCACACTGGTACAGACAGTTTATGTAGAAACACTAACTGTGTATTGTGATGTATGGAGGCTTATTGGTTGACCATTGTGTTTTAATCTTGCAGGATTACGCTAGCAAACCTACTTCTCCTGTCAAACAAAAGGACAGTGAAAGAGATCCTCCCAAATCCCCGGAATATCGCCAATTATCTCCAAAGAACCTCGATGACCCTATATATCCCAGTGGCAAAACCAACCTGTCGGCCAAATGTAGCAGCAGTGAGACGGAATGTTTACTAGAAAAGACCAATAATGTCTTAAACATCAGCGAAAAGAGAGACTCGCGTCCTGGCTCAGAACAACTTCTGAAGAATGAGTTGAAACAATCGTCAACTATTCTAGCCTTGGCAGCCTCACAACCCGACCAGCCTGGATCCTCTGCAGCCGCCGTATCAGGCGATTCCCCACCTGGGTCAGGCAAGAAAAAGACCTTGGGAGAATTGGCGAAAGAATGGAATTCTAATCAGGTATTGGTGTTTCGTATTTACATCCATCCTGTTCTTTCCAAAGCTCCAGCAATCCTGATTCAACACTTGGTTAAAACTGAGCTCATGTCGAATAACTGGATAGCTCTCACGCCTGTATTCTAAATGCTCACTCACGCTCACACTCAAAGAGTGGAGGTTCAATCTGAGCTTTTCTTGAGTGTCAATGCTGTTTTTGAATAGCTGCGTGGATAGTTAATGTCGTACCTTACTATGTGACTACTCGCCCTTCAGCTATTCAAAAGCAGCACTGACACTCAAGAGAAGCTCAGATTGAACCTCCACTCTTTGAGCATGAGTGAGCTTTTAGACCACAGGCGTCAGGCACATCTCTTCAAGAGGAAACCTGAACTAACTTTATTTAAACTATATAGCTCTATCATTTCTATCTAAACAGTTTTTCCTGGAGACTTCATTTGTCTAACACAAACACAGTCCGTGCTGACAAAACGTTTACACGCTACGATTAATCGTGTACGATTCGTATTCTGGCGTATTTAGATGAGTGCTGGCGCCATAATTCATTGCCGTTTCGTTAAAAAGATATTTCAAATGTAGCCTGGCTACCTTATGCGTGTTTACTCAATGACATACGCCAGAAAACGAATCGTATACGATTAATCGCAGCGTGTAAACATAGGCAGCCCAATGTTATGGTTGCCTGTCTGCGCGCGGGCCAGGCGTTGTATAGTTGTATTATTTCCTTTTATGTAGGAAATAATACAACTATAAAACGCCTCGCCCGCGCGCAGACAGGCAACCATAACATTGGGCTGCCTATGGTGTAAACGTAGCTTAATACATCTCCTTGCTTTGTTTGTTAAAATTATTCTTCATTCATTCATTCAGAGCCCTAATGAGAAGCATGTGGAAGCTAAGAAAGCAGTGGTTTCCACGACTGAAGACGACTTGGTACGGCACAGTACTTACTATTCTACTTCATCATCTGTTTATGGCATGTCCAGCCACGAATGCAGGCTCAGAAATAAACTTAAGGCTAGACGTCATTTAAATCGCGATGAAGTATATCAAGAAAAGAAAACCACTTCCCCACCATTAATCAAATTACACGCAGTAGGAGATCTGCTATAAGGACGGAGAATAGTGTATAAACATATTTATATTAAAATGTTAAAATTCTTGTTTAATGCATTCAATTCAATCCTGTTTAATGCATAACAATTTAAATATTTAATAAGATAAATAATGGCAATATAATTAAAAATATAAAAATTTCTTTGATATTATTGTCAGTATCAAAGATTTACTAAAGTGTGAAGTATAGTTTATAAATTATTTTGTAATTTTTCTTTGGTTAATATTATGCATGTTGTATGTCATTTTGTAAACCGCACAACAATTAATTGTAATTGCGTTTTTTGTTATGTTTACATGTATATATAGTTGTAGTTTTGAAGTGAAGTCGAGCATATTGTTCCCAATCATTCAGAAGTCCGCTTTCTTACTGACTTAGATTACTTTGAGTTGCATTGGTCAGTCCACTATAGACATGAAACTAAAAAAATCTAAATTGAATTGCTGGATAAGTTCTGAACTGTTCTCCATAGAACCACAGTAACCCCTCAAGCGAGAGAATGATAGTTGATGTGAGTTGCTAGTCCTTTAAAACTCTTCATTAAAAAATAAACGTTTGAGAGTTCCAACTTGTTTGAAATCGTGTGACTTCCAACCCTCCTCACAACATCTGTGGTGTAGTGTTTGGTAGGGTCAATCTCGCATGCTACTTGCATGAAGTGATGAGATAGATAACTGTGGATAATTGTGTATGAGAAGAACATCTTTGTCGTGTATTCTCCTTGGTATAGTAACAGTAGACCAATAAGAAATAACACTTACTGGACCTCTAGAGAGAACAGTTTAGATTGCTATCCGGAATATAAATAAAGCTACGAAAGTTGCGTTATTGCATATCTGAATATAGGTGTTGGAATATTTGTTCATAAAATTAAGATGTGTTGTCTTACAATGAATGTGTAAATAGATGTTTTTAAATTTTGTTTCTTGAACATAAATTAGAAATTAAGCAAAAGCAGTTCCTGTCGATCGTTTTATTAACTTATCTTAAACAATTTAAATGATTAAAGTGCAGCAGCTTTAGTTGATTATCATAGTTGTCTATTCGTCATGTTTATGTCTAATTGCTATAACTGATACGTTTTCTTAACCAAATTATAATAAATTCGTATTTAAAATAGCTTTCCTAATAAGAAGTACTCTACGTTTATCGATTTTTACCGCTTGTTTGAAATGGATGTTCCTTGCCCCAATGAACAAGCGTATAATTTCTGTTTTTGCACACATATTTTCATTGAATTGTTTCGAAATTTACTGATTTTTATTTCTCGTTCTAGATCGGCTGGGTTTTACTCTCCAACTGGACTAGATCCAAATTTAGTGGAAATCAAACCAATTAGGCCGGTACGTCCATTTGTTCCGGCTTCTTATCTAGGACGTGCATTTGAACATAAAAGACTACCTTATAGACCTTTTAACAGAAGAACTGATAGAGCAGTCGAGTATAAACCTTTCTACCTCTTCATCTATTTCATATATTTTGTAATTTTGTCTGTTCTGTAATATTTCGTGGTGAGCACCCTGCATGGGACCTGGTCTCGTTTGTGTTTCGCCTCTTTTGGTTGTTTGAAGTTGTCCCAACCTAGACCTAGGCCTTTACTCGGCTGGCTTTGGCAGGTATCTTTGGCAGGTTTGGTCAATTTCCGGCTAGCATTTGGCGCAATTGTTTGCCAGTCTTTTCATGTGAAAAAGCGCTGAATTTAAAAAAATATAAATAAAAATAGAAGGCCTAGGTCTAGGCTGAAGTTGTCCATATGTTTCTTAATAAATGCAGTAAACGTATGAAGTGTGCCTTGAAAATAGATGAAAGAATAAATCTGATATCTTTTTTATCCAGCCACTAGATCCATTGCTTGCACAGACATTATCCGAGTCACCTGACGACCAACTAATCCGACACCATGAGTATCACAGTCCACACGAGTCTAAGATTGCAGCTGCCATGAGATTATCACAGGAGAAACTATCCAATCAGTTGGGAACATCACATGGTGCTAAGACGATGACCTTGGCTGAGCTTGCTGGGTCAAGTCCAAAGAAACGGGTATATACATTCTCATTTCTGGAACCATTTTTGTAATATATAGTTGTGTATTATAATTTCATCTCCCGAGAAGAGTGTTTTTCATTTGACTCTGACAAAGACCACAGGTTTGTTTCTAGGTACCCAAATTTTCTTCTCCGGTACCACTGATGTAACCGGGTAAAGACCTAACTAAAATTATCATGTTTTGTGATTGGCTTTCAGAAACAAAAATGATCATTGTTCGTGACTCGTTCTTTAAAAAGACGATATCTATAGTTTTATTGTCTTTCATTGTTATAATCAACCAACCACGAGCCTGGATAGTATAGGTAGATGATGACCCATGTAACAAGGGATGAGCCATACCGGACCTCTGGGGAGAAGAATTAAGAAGTGATGGAACTATCCAGTATTAATAAATTTTGTTTAGTTCAGCTTTTCCTCTGGAGAGAACAGTTTAGAACTGATACAGCTACCCAGTAAATAAGAAATTAGTTTAATTTCCCGCATAAATAAAACAAGAAGATAACCGTACAGAATTTTTCATGTTTTCTTTAGGAGCAATCCTCTCTGTTCCCAACTCTTAATTCCGCAGCACCGCGATCGACCAGCCGCTCGTCCGTTCCTTCGTCGTCCGCATCTCCCTTAAACGCTTCTCGCACATCTACACCGGAAGTGATAACAGAAGAATCGTCTCCTCTCATGGACAACTCCGCTGGTTCATTGGTTCGCCATAGCGAGTTCTACAAAGGCTCGACTAGCGGGATACGACGTCCATCTTCTGAGATCTCATTTCAGGCGCCTCGAGAACGAGGCGGATCCACCCTCTCTGATTTAATACAACAGGGGAATGTCGATAATGATGTAAGTAGTGAATAAAAAGGAGCATTTGATCTAATAGTTCTATCAGTTCTCCATAAAGTTCCTAACATGTATTTTGATAATATTTCAGAGTCTTCTTGGAAGTGATTTGAGCGTAAATGAAGGATGGATGGTAAGATGTACTCTCGTGCTAAACCGAACATTATCTATATACTGGATAGCTCTATCACGTGTATTATTGCACTTCTATGTACTATTTAGTGTTTTATATCTGATAAAACACTCCTACTCGTGTTTTAAATAGCTTAAAATACGACTACAAAAGAATACTAATTAGGATGAACAATTATATAAAGAATACTGATGAAGATGAGTTTTATCAGATATAAAGTCACTCCACGTGACATCATAGTTAATAGAAGAGATGGTTTGGAAACTCATTAGAATGACAATATAACTCATTATCTATGTTAGTCAACGTTTATTCATAAATCTGGTCCTTCACCGTCACGTGTGTATTGTATTTTTGCCCAACTAACCAATAGCAATGCTTTAGGAAAGTTACCTATCCATGACTCGAACAATAGGGTAAATTGGAAATTGCTATTGGTGGATTTGGCAAAAATACAATACACACGTGACAGTGAAGGACCAGATTTATGAATAAACGTTGACTAACATAGATAATGAGTTATATTGTTATTCTAATGAGTTTCCAAACCATCTCTTCTATTAACTATGGTGACATATTATGGCTGACATGTTTGCCAAAAGGTTTATGAATTATTAAAGAGTATTTTAACATATTATACAGGGAAGTCGAGAGAGCATCTACAGTAACGATGGTGTCTATGGCAACCATGATGTGAGCGGAGAAATACTACTTAGTTACCAGTACTTTAAAGGGAGTTTTAAAGTGAAGATATTTGAAGCTCGTGGGTTGACTGCTGTTGATAAAAACACATCAAACCCGTAAGTCGTATAAAAGATTCAAAATAGTCAATCATAAGGCCCATTTAAAGGTCCAGACACACCGGACGCGATTCGACAACACAACGCGATTTTTCGATTTTCACTGACCAATAACTTTGATCCTACTGTAGTTTAAATTTTCCAAATATTTAGAAGCGCTATAACATTTTGAGTTATTTGGTCAACATATCTTTTAAAATTTCCTCATTGCGAATTAGTAAATGAATAATTTTTTACTATACTCCTGTTTCAGAAAGCAAATGAAAACTCCGACGGAATTAAATGTATTATTAGCTACATTAATTGCCGTAACTTTTAGTCAACTTAATATCTCAAGGTATCATCACTCTGAGACAACATCACAAACATATAATATCTGAATATTTTGAAGGTACGTCAAGGTGTACTTACTGCCAGATCAAAGTCGAACAGGAAAACGGAAAACAAAAATGAAACACGCCACGCTTGATCCTGAATTCAATCAAGAAATGCTGGTAATTATATTATATATTGGAATATAAAACTTTTTCAATACTGAAATTATACTAAAATAATTATATAGTCGCCTCAGGCTCGGTGATAACAAGCCTATATTGACTTCGTCTTCGGCTCAGTGAATCAAGGCTTGTGAACACCTCGCCTTCAAGGACTAATTGTTAAATAGCGCCCCACTATAACAAAACCTTCGCTTTTGTGCACTAACCGTGAAATATTTAATTGATGTGTTTTTCATTTCCTAGTACAAAATAAGCACAGCAGATTTAGTAAGACGTACATTATGGATCAGCGTCTGGCACTATGATAGGTTTGGTAGGAATGAATTTCTGGGAGAAGTACAAATTCCTCTTGGTGATTATCAAGGTTCCGAAGTGGCACCCGACTGGTATCCATTAGTACCAACGGTAAGTCAATGATCTTGTGTATGTGTTAACTAACTCCACACTCTTGTTGTTTCTGATAGTTATATTTGTTCTCATAAATTAAGTTATGTTATTGTATATTTATATAGTATTTGTAAAATGGGGCCCACAGTAATTGGTTTCTATACTATTGTGGTGACCCTGCATGCCACTCTTTTATGTGGTAAAGTTAAAATATAGAAATAATAGTTAAATGCAAGACTACGAGCAGCGTTACATTTGAAGCAGATTGATTTCCAGGTCCGAGGATTTTTAGATTGATATATTGATAGCAGTAGCGTACTATCTGTAAAGTAAATATTGAAATGTGGAGAAGGAAAGAGACTATTGTTCACGTTTATTAGGAAGAATGTTCCATATTCTTGTTGTGCTGCTGTTGAAGGAGGTCTGCTAGGTTACAGTCTTGCATTTCTTATTACGGAACAAGATAAGGTCTGGATTGCTTGTTAATAGAATACATCTTTTCTAGCAATCCAAAGCTAGTGAAAACGAGCAAGGTGAACTTGTGGTCGCCCTAATGTACTCACCGGCGGACAAGAAACGCAAGTCAGGCCAGGGAGCTGGGAAACTTTATGTGAAAATAATTGAAGGAAAAAATCTCCCTGGCAAAGATGCTGATGGTTTGTCTGATCCATTTTGTAAAAGGTATGAAGAATAGAGATCTAATAATCCACATTCCTCCTGTAGTAACACTGCAGATCAACAAGAGATTTGACTCTTACTGAAGAGCTGCGAAAAATGCCCAAAAATCCCGACATTTGTCCATAAAATCTAACTCAGTATGGCATCATCTTAGTATTATACATGAACTTGTGGTTAGGGCTCAACAACTGGCCTCTGTAGCTCAATTGATTAGAGCTCAACAACTGTCTCTCTGTAGCTCAGTTGGTTAGAGCTCGACAACTGTCTCTCTGTAGCTCAGTTGGTTAGAGCTCGACAACTGTCTCTCTGTAGCTCAGTTGGTTAGAGCTCAACAACTGTCTCTCTGTAGCTCAGTTGGTTAGAGCTCTACAACTGTCTCTCTGTAGCTCAGTTGGTTAGAGCTCGACAACTGTCTCTCTGTAGCTCAGTTGGTTAGATCTCAACAACTGTCTCTCTGTAGCTCAGTTGGTTAGAGCTCGACAACTGTCTCTCTGTAGCTCAGTTGGTTAGAGCTCGACAACTGTCTCTCTGTAGCTCAGTTGGTTAGAGCTCGACAACTGTCTCTCTGTAGCTCAGTTGGTTAGAGCTCGACAACTGTCTCTCTGTAGCTCAGTTGGTTAGAGCTCGACAACTGTCTCTCTGTAGCTCAGTTGGTTAGAGCTCGACAACTGTCTCTCTGTAGCTCAGTTGGTTAGAGCTCGACAACTGTCTCTCTGTAGCTCAGTTGGTTAGAGCTCGACAACTGTCTCTCTGTAGCTCAGTTGGTTAGAGCTCGACAACTGTCTCTCTGTAGCTCAGTTGGTTAGAGCTCGACAACTGTCTCTCTGTAGCTCAGTTGGTTAGAGCTCGACAACTGTCTCTCTGTAGCTCAGTTGGTTAGATCTCAACAACTGTCTCTCTGTAGCTCAGTTGGTTAGAGCTCGACAACTGTCTCTCTGTAGTTCAGTTGGTTAGAGCTCGACAACTGTCTCTCTGTAGCTCAGTTGGTTAGAGCTCGACAGCTGTCTCTCTGTGGCTCAGTTGGTTAGAGCTCGACAACTGTCTCTCTGTAGCTCAGTTGGTTAGAGCTCGACAACTGTCTCTCTGTAGCTCAGTTGGTTAAAGCTCGACAACTGTCTCTCTATAGCTCAGTTGGTTAGAGTTCGACAACTGTCTCTCTGTAGCTCAGTTGGTTAGAGCTCGACAACTGTCTCTCTGTAGCTCAGTTGGTTAGAGCTCGACAACTGTCTCTCTGTAGCTCAGTTGGTTAGAGCTCGACAACTGTCTCTCTGTAGCTCAGTTGGTTAGAGCTCGACAACTGTCTCTCTATAGCTCAGTTGGTTAGAGCTCGACAACTGTCTCTCTGTAGCTCAGTTGGTTAGAGCTCGACAGCTGTCTCTCTGTAGCTCAGTTGGTTAGAGCTCGACAGCTGTCTCTCTGTAGCTCAGTTGGTTAGAGCTCGACAACTGTCTCTCTGTAGCTCAGTTGGTTAGAGCTCGACAACTGTCTCTCTGTAGCTCAGTTGGTTAGAGCTCGACAGCTGTCTCTCTGTAGCTCAGTTGGTTAGAGCTCGACAACTGTCTCTCTGTAGCTCAGTTGGTTAGAGCTCGACAGCTGTCTCTCTGTAGCTCAGTTGGTTAGAGCTCGACAACTGTCTCTCTGTAGCTCAGTTGGTTAGAGCTCGACAACTGTCTCTCTGTAGCTCAGTTGGTTAGAGCTTGACAACTGTCTCTCTGTAGCTCAGTTGGTTAGAGCTCGACAACTGTCTCTCTGTAGCTCAGTTGGTTAGAGCTTGACAACTGTCTCTCTGTAGCTCAGTTGGTTTAGGGCTCGACAACTGTCTCTCTGTAGCTCAGTTGGTTAGAGCTTGACAACTGTCTCTCTGTAGCTCAGTTGGTTAGAGCTCGACAACTGTCTCTCTGTAACTCAGTTGGTTAGAGCTCGACAACTGTCTCTCTGTAGCTCAGTTGGTTAGAGGTCGACAACTGTCTCTCTGTAGCTCAGTTGGTTAGAGCTCGACAACTGTCTCTCTGTAGCTCAGTTGGTTAGAGCTCTACAACTGTCTCTCTGTAGCTCAGTTGGTTAGAGCTCGACAACTGTTTCTCTGTAGCTCAGTTGGTTAGAGCTTGACAACTGTCTCTCTGTAGCTCAGTTGGTTAGAGCTCGACGACTGTCTCTCTGTAACTCAGTTGGTTAGAGCTCGACAACTGTCTCTCTGTAGCTCAGTTGGTTAGAGCTTGACAACTGTCTCTCTGTAGCTCAGTTGGTTAGAGCTCGACAACTGTCTCTCTGTAGCTCAGTTGGTTAGAGCTCGACAACTGTCTCTCTGTAGCTCAGTTAGTTAGAGCTCGACAACTGTCTCTCTGTAGCTCAGTTGGTTAGAGCTCGACAACTGTCTCTCTGCAGCTCAGTTAGTTAGAGATCAACAACTGTCTCTCTGTAGCTCAGTTGGTTAGAGCTCGACAACTGTCTCTCTGTAGCTCAGTTAGTTAGAGCTCGACAACTGTCTCTCTGTAGCTCAGTTGGTTAGAGCTCGACAACTGGCCTTTGTAGCTCAGTTGGTTAGAGCTCGACAACTGTCTCTGTAGCTCAGTTGGTTAGAGCTTGACAACTGTCTCTCTGTAGCTCAGTTGGTTAGAGCTCGACAACTGTCTCTCTGTAGCTCAGTTGGTTAGAGCTCGGCAACTGTCTCTCTGTAGCTCAGTTAGTTAGAGCTCGACAACTGTCTCTCTGTAGCTCAGTTGGTTAGAGCTCGACAACTGTCTCTCTGTAGCTCAGTTGGTTAGAGCTCGACAACTGTCTCTCTGTAGCTCAGTTGGTTAGAGCTCGACAACTGTCTCTCTGTAGCTCAGTTGGTTAGAGATCGACAACTGTCTCTCTGTAGCTCAGTTGGTTAGAGCTCGACAACTGTCTCTCTGTAGCTCAGTTGGTTAGAGCTCGACAACTGTCTCTCTGTAGCTCAGTTGGTTAGAGCTCGACAACTGTCTCTCTGTAGCTCAGTTGGTTAGAACTCAACAACTGTCTCTCTGTAGCTCAGTTGGTTAGAGCTCGACAACTGTCTCTCTGTAGCTCAGTTGGTTAGAGCTCGACAACTGTCTCTCTGTAGTTCAGTTGGTTAGAGCTCGACAACTGTCTCTCTGTAGCTCAGTTGGTTAGAGCTCGACAACTGTCATTCTGTAGCTCAGTTGGTTAGAGCTCGACAGCTGTCTCTCTGTAGCTC